TACCCAAAAGCTATGATATAAAACCTATTTTACACTAAACCTAGACTAAACCCAATTCACGTGTACACCTTGCCTCACTCTTAACTCTTCTTCTTCAACTCTTCTTTTCTTCCACGCAAGGTGTTGCCTCCCCAAGCTGCCATTACCGTCGTTTGGAGCCCCAAGCCTTCTCCGGCCACCATACCCAACGACCTAGTATCCTAAACTGACCACCTAACATCCCTTAACCTTAATCTCACTCTTTTAACTTCTAATTCAAGGTTTAAAACACCCAAAACAGATTCTAAAAAAGCCTCACCGGAACACCAAACACTCAGCCACTCTTCCCCTTCTTCTACGCTAAATCACAGTAACTTCAAACAAAAATCATGGTGACCACCATAGTCACACCCTACACTAAGCCCCTTTCCATTCTCTCCACTCAACCCCTCAACGATGGTGTGGTGCTCGAACGTTAAGGTAAACTCAAATCTTAGTTATTTCTATTTTTTTTATCTTGAAATCCCGATAGACGATAACCCAAACCTGAAAATTAACATGCAAGGGCTCTAACGACACATAAATTTTACCCAACTTCGGTGATGCTCGATTAACCACCTTAAGATATTTCTATTGCAAGTGAGCAAATGAAACCGAGCAAGGTAATTAACTCATCTTCCATATCTCTACTTTTCTTTTGTTTTGCTATACATATATGAGAAACAAAAAAAATAAAATAAATAAATAAATGCTGGAAAATGTTCAATACCTCTTATTGCTCTGTTAGTTGACAAATTTTGAATGAAGAATCCCGAACAAGCAAAAAAAAGAATAAACCTTTAAGTTGATAAACTCCCTGCTTTAGAAAATATGTGTTTTCTTATTTGAGTGGTTCTTTTTTCCAGAAAAGCAAATGAGGACTGTTTCCCTTTTTTTTTTTCCTCTTCAGAATCGTCCCCCTCTTTTTTGTTCTGTTCTTAATCAATAAAAACTGCCCCTCACTCCATTTACAGTTTTTTTTTAACTCCTGATAACCATTTTTCAGTTTTCCAAGACTTCACGGACTGGAAGCTTGGATGATAACAATGCTGGGTCATTAGGCTTGAACTGGGCCTTCAACGAATTGGGTTCTTTAGGCCTGTCATTGCTCGGATCTACTCCGACTTAACCCCGGACAAAAACGAGCATCTACAATATCTCTCAATAACTTATATTATTGATTTATTAATTTTTTGTTATTTACATTATCAATTGTTATATTTTGCTCATTGAGCCGTTAATTTCATCAGTTTGATGATGTGGTGTGTTAGTCAAAATAGGTTAATTTTTAATTTAACCACTAGACTTAAGGTATAATATTAATTTGACTCTAAACTTTAGATGAAATATCATTTTGACCCTTAAATTTTAGATAAAATATTAAGTTAACCATTGAATTTAATCAAAGTCTCTTGTCGTAAATTATCACTCACCACCATTATTGTCAGCTGATATCGACCATCGTCACCCCTACTGTTGGGAGTGAACTGCCTTGTATTGATCTACAATAAACCCACAAAAATAAAACCAATCTATTAATGAATATGATACAGAAGAAAAACATAGTTTTGGGGGAAACACCCTAAGAAAGTGACGGGTTTGACTTTTGTAGTACTCTTTAATCTCGTGCATGTCAAATTCAGATGACGTCGCAAACAAGGCACAAGAAGCGCCGACCAAAAGTTCCCTCGCCGTAAAAAAAGCCTCCGACCAAAGATCATCATAGCAAAGAGGACGGTTGTGGTCGGAGAATCAAGATGCCAATCATTTGTCCGACTCGTGTTTTCTAATTAACTCATGAGTTGGGTCACAAATCCATGGTCAGACCACCGAGCGGTTGTTACGACAAGTTGAGCCTTCCATCATAGCTATTGTGAAGCATCTAAAAATATTTTTGAGAGTAGATATACCCACGTTAACAATATAAATATTTTTTGAACAGCATAAGTATAAATAAAATATCAGGTGGACATATTTAATAATATAAGTAACTAATCGAAAAAAATTCAGATTTAAATATCCAAGTAAGTTATAGATTTGCCACTGCCACTACCAATACCAGGACGACTCCTGTCAACTTCTCCACTGTGCTGCCTTCCCTCCGCCAGAGATAGTTGTCCAGACTGTTACTGCCGCTGTGGTGTCTGCTCAACAACCTACTGCAACTGCATTAGTCGTTCAACAGCAACAAGCTATGGGAGAAGCATCGACGATGAGGGTTGGCAATTATCTTCGAGGTCATATGAATTTGTTAGCACTGTTATCGGGTCAAAGAGGCGAGGATCCGAATTGAATTTGGTCTATAGGAGTGAACCGCCTAAAGTTTATTACATTGATACAATTGACTTGTCTAAAATTTTGTTGTTAATTAAAATCAGTAGCAACAGTGGTGAGCGGAGGTCGATAATAGGAGATTTGGATCGAATTTAGGGGTTAAATTCATATTATCTAAAGATTAAGGTTTAAAATGATATTTCATCTCAACATTATGGTCGAATTAGTATTTTATATAAAATTTAGGAGTCAAATTAAAAATTAACCCCTTTTGACTAGCGTGACACGTCTTAAAAAATAAGAGTTAACAATTATGTGATCAAAATGTTACAATTGATAACATAACTGGCCAAAATTTAATAAATTGATAACGTAACATAAGTGGTCAAAATATAATTTTTTTGTATTCGATGAGTATATATATATATATATATATATAATGATCAATCCGATAATTAACCCTAATATTAAAGAAGACAAAAACTGGGTTGATGTGAGCTATATACTGGAATGAGGTTCATGCAATCTTGTTTTAAAAAAATCTAGTTTAACTTATGCATTAATTTCAAACAATCTCGTTCAAAATTAGTGACCTAATTAAATAATGAAATTATTCAAAAATAATAATAATACAATTTATCTTAGTGGTTAAAATAATCGTTGTTATTCTTAGATGTCATTAATTTGAGCATCAGTGACTACAATAATAATTGAACGTTCATTGTCAAATGATTGAGAGTACTTAGAATAAATACTACTTTATAATCACTTTTAACTTAATAAAAAGTATGAAATCAATCATATTTTTATTTTAGGGTGAGTGTTAGATCGAGTCAAACTAATTAAAATATTTATTTATAAATTATTCGATTTGACGAGTTATATTTAAAAACATACGAAGATCACACATATATTTAATAGAGAATTATATATAAATCTTCTTTGACATTACCTATAATTATTTGTTAAATAAATCAGAAAAGAAATGTGCGAAATTGATATTTTAAACTCAGCCCACCCATTTATAATAATAGGTAATAAATCTTTGTTTTCAAAAGAAAATAGGCTAACTACCTATTCGGTCACCTACATATTAGTTAGTTTATGTTTTGATTATACAACTATTATTTTTTAGAATGATATTTAACGTTATGTTTCGATTCTATTTTGAGCGCATGTCGTTAAAAAAATTAAGGGTATACTACACCTTTAGTATCCCAATTACTACACCTTTAGTATCCCAATTATCATTGTTGTTATGTTTTGGTCATCTAGCTATTTTTTTTAAATCATACCTAACGTTTATTTTTGGTTTCATATTGGTCATCCATCTTTAAAAAATTAACAATGATGTTGACATGTCACCATAAGGTAATACCATGTCGTTATTGAAAAAAAAATGTCACGTGATTTTTTTTAAATTTTTTAGCGATGGGTAACTAAAATAAAACCAAAACGTAACATTATATATGATTTTGAAAAAAAAAATCAAAACGAAAGTTATAGTTGGAGTACTAAACATATAATTTATCTTACTAACCATATAATTTACCCAAAAATTAACTATCATACTGATGTATCACAATAAATAATACCACATCAGTATTGAAAAATAATAAAGAAAATATCATATCAACATCACCATTAATTTTTTTTAACGGTCAGAGACTAAAACAGAACCAAAACATAACGTTAGATATCATTTTGAAAAACAATAATAGTTAAGTGACCAAAACAAAACTAAATAATAGACGGGTGACAAATACGTAGTTTACCCAAGAAAATAAGTATTGAAAATATTGTGCCACCGAACTAAAACAAGGACAGCATTTGTGAACAACTCCGTCCTGCACGTTGCCTTCACCCGCTCTTCTTCTTCACCTTTTATTTAACTCTCCCTTCTCGAACAAGCAATCAAAGAAAAAAGCCACCGAATTCTTTTAACCCCCCAAATTCTAGGGATTCTCTCTTTTCTCCTTTATTAGAATTCCTAATTTGGTAATTCACTCTATCCCCCCTTCTTCATTCCTGTTCTTTTCTTTGATTTAATGATGAATTTATTTTTTTTATCTCTTTCTGTTTGGTTGCCGTGAAATTCTATTAGCTAAACGAATGAGGAAAATTGACGAGAGGTGGAATGCTGTGTTTCCTGTTTGGTTGGTAGATATGATACGAGTTCAATTTTTTTAGTTTGTAGTTTTCTATTTTTATTGAAAAAAAATGAAAAAAAAGGGAACAATGTCATGGTTTTGAAACAACTTTTTTCCCACTTAGAAGCTGAAACATTGGGTTCAGAATTTTCAGAGTTTTGAATTCTGGTGGATTAATGTCTGGTTGTTTCTGCTGTTTGTGGCTGCCTAGAAAATTTAAAGGAATGTGAACTGGTTAGAAGCCTCAGTTCAAGTAGGATAGGTATCATTTTAAGAGACTAAAAGAGAAGACTGTAAAAGCTTAGAGCTCAATGTAAAATCCATGTTTATATTGTGTTGCACCCGGTGCAAATCATAAGAGCATAGAATAGCTTACATTTGTTGCTTGAGAATTTGAAATATCCTAATTTCGAAAATTTTCTTGTTTCTGAGAGCAAATGCCGGCGGTTTTTACTCTTTGAAATAGACTAGCAATTCTTAACTTCATGGCTTGGGCCTCGAAGACCCCAAGAGGTCAATTATCCAGATTAGATCAAGTAGTTGATACACAAGATTAGTCATATTTCTTTGTCATATAATATGATCTGGCTTTCCTTATATCTGAATAAACCAAATGCAATTTGCTAAAAATGTGATTTATCAGCATAATTTCCTTTGCTGTTTGAATGACAACAAAAAACCCTGACTTGCTAGCAACTTATGATTCAGTTCAGGAAAGAAGTTATATAGTTCACATTTGGGTTCATTACCTGTCCACTTTAAAGAGCTTATTTTTCCTTGAATGAGTCAGTTTGAAGTGCAGATTTGAAATAACTTGGATTATGAATGTGATTCTGAATGATATATTTTCTGGTACCTTGGATGGTTGGATTTGTGCCAGCTACCGTGAAAATAGCAACAATTTTAATAGAAGTAGAGGACAATAAAACAAGAGTGAGGTGCTGAAGAAATAGATGACACCTGCCTTTTTGTAGAAACTATGAAATAGATGAGAACAAAGTAGAGAATCAAAATAAAGCATGGTTGCTTGGTTGAACTGGCTCAATTGGTTTATCAATAGTATCATGTTAAGGATATTAGCTCTCTTTTCTTGTTGTTGTCTTTTCTCATATAAACTTTTCCAACGAGTCAGATTCTTGCCTAACTATTTAACCTGATGCCCCTATTTCTTATTTCTTTTATTTGAGAAAAACTACCATGTCCTATTTTTCTCTCCATGCAACTATATTTATGCCTTTTTGAAGCACTTTGGTAAGACAAAAAAAAGAATAAAGCAGTCTTAGTTTTTCAACTTCTCTGCTTGTAATCTTTGAAAAAATGTTTAGTGTCATACCTAGTTTATCTACAGGAATTTGGAACTCTTATCTTTATTGATTATGATTACTGGGCTGCAAAATGTCACACTTTAGCTATGCTGTCTGCTCTTACAGCAGCTTTATTAGCTTTTGTTGCTACTCCTGTTTTAAGTTATTTATATCATCATTTTATTCAATCACTTATCCAAATCGTTTTAAATATATGTATCCTAAACCATTACAATGAGATAAGTAACCGGTCCTCCCCCTTGCACCAACTTTCTTTTAAATATAATTTATTCTTTAAATGTGGCTAGTAAAAAGGTTTAGGTAATTTCCTCCACTTTCCAGATGATTTGACATAAGTTTAGTGAGATGTGGGAAGTGCTTTGCGTTTTCATGTGATTTTTATCCGACTGACACCATGATAAGTATAATGTACATTTTTGCATATGTACTTGTGTAGGGTTATCTGCTGAAACATTTTGAAGAATTGCATGTTTAAATAAATCAAATGGTCCTTATTGCTCTGCCATTGATCTTCTCTTCTTGTCAAAGGCCTTATTTAACTTTTATAGTTGAGCTTAATTTATGTTCTGGTTACTTTTCAGTATCTCCTTTTGGCTTTTGGTCACGATGTCGAGTTTGGAGGAGCCACTTGGTTTTGACAAGCTTCCTAGCATGAGTACTATTGATAGGATTCAGAGGTTCTCAGCTGGTGCTTGTCGTCCCAGAGGAGATGATATGGGCATGGGAAGCTGCTGGATGGATGGGAGGAGTTGTAGCACATCTAATAGCTGCGAGTAAGTCGGATACTGTAATCTTTGGAACTGTTCCCCTTAGAGCACTCATATACTCCTTTTTTGTTCCAAAAAAATAACAATAAAATTGCATGTATCAGTTATCAATATATCGACTTTATAGATAAATCTGTTTTCCAGTGAGGATCATGAAGAATATACAGGGGAGACATTCCCATGGAGAAGACATGTGAGGGATGTGTCTGAAGGAGAAGCTTTTAACCAAAGGGCTAAAAGCTTAAGCAAGAATAGGGTGAAACTAGGACATGTTTCTAAATCAAGGAACTGGTTGGATCAGCAGTATAGCTCCAAGTGCAATGACAGAGGCATACGGAACATAACAAACAAGGTAATAAATAACCTGAATGGAATTATACACTTTTCTTCTTTGAAACTATTAGGATTTTATGTAAGACTCCTTTCCGGGATTTTTAAATGGTTAAGCTCTCTTTGTGCGTGTGAAATGTGTTTTCATTCTTGTGCTTCATTATTTACTCTTTCTGAAGCTCTTGCTTCGTCTAAAATCTTTTATTAATGTGAAGCAGTTCTTAAAAGGTATACCAAAGTTTGTGAAGATAGTGGAAGTTGGTCCGAGGGATGGATTACAGAATGAGAAGACTATTGTACTAACGTCTGTGAAGGTTGAATTGATTCGAAGATTGGTGTCTTCAGGATTGCCTGTTGTTGAAGCTACAAGTTTTGTATCTCCTAAATGGGTTCCTCAGGTATCGTGATTTGCTTATTTTAGATGGAGATAGTACTTATTGTTTTCTTTTCTGTGGTTTCCGTTTCGTTTGATATGACTAGATGATTATATTTATAACCAATAGAGGTTGGATATGATGTTCACAGCCTTAAAAATTGTCCGTTATTTCAATATTGATGATTTTTTAGTTGTTTTTCAAAGAATGTCAATAAAAAGTTGGAGTTTACCTTATAACCACGAGCAATGAGGCAGTTGTTTTTGGGATTAATACCAGATTTTCCTTGCCTTCCTTTGAGCGTGATTCTGCTCATGATTTATGGACCTTAATTTGTGTTGTTATTTTCTGTATCATCTAACATGTGTCTGTTTGTCCTTGTTTAACTCTTTTTTTCTTCACCTGAAGCTACCTCATCGACTATGTCCTCCGACAGACTAGTTAACTTTACTGTTTACTATCCTAAGTACCTTTAGAAAGAAGCCGCCTTAAGCTCAACCAGAGTCTACCATCCTGGCCCCTTTTTAATGGTATAGGATCATTTGTAATTTTCAATCTTTGGCTTTATCTCTTATAAAGCTCTGGTATTTGAACTTGGTAAAACAAGAAAGGAATCTATTTGTAGTTGCACATTGTTGAATCTTGGTCCTGTATGAGGATTTAGAATTTTGGATAGGAGGAATCCTATGGTGGGGGTTAGACAGCCGTCCTGATAGCCTTCTTCTTTCTTTGAAATTCTTTGATGATATTGTAAAATATTTCATACTAAAATTAGTAGATAACTAAAATATGCCAATGAAGAACAGCTTTATGCACAAAATCTTTGCATGAAGCTCCTAGTTTACTCTCTCGCACTACAGTTATTCTAGGATTATTCCTGAAATATTGAATGAGGTTGATCACATCTAAGGTGCTTATTGGCCTGTCAAAATTCTTGTTGTTGTTGATCTTGATTCCTCAAATCTCAGTGAAGATCCTCTAAAAATGAATATTTCAAGGCAATAACTAATTATCCTTTTCGTATGTGTTGTGCACCATGTTATTTATTCTTAAGCTGTACCTACAAATGTATGTATATATCCTGTATGAATACGTTATCCGTGCATTTTTTGTATTTTAATTCAGAATCTTACATGCTTACAAATTTATTCCCCGGAAAACATTGTTGCTGGATGCAAGTGAGATACTTGACATATCTCTTGCTGATATTTGAGATAACCTGCATCTGGTTCATTCTTTACCTTTATATATCTTGTGAAAATGCATATATTTGGGTATATTTATTCCGTGAAAATCTAGATATATGCAAATGTATATTTATCAGAGCATTTGTTTAATCTTTAATTTTTAATTCAGACCCTTACATGCTATAATTTATCCCATGGAGGAAAATTATTGTTGGATACGAGTTAGATGCTTTATTTATCTCTTGATATATAGATAACCTGCTATTGATTCGTTCTTTTACTTTTTTGTATAGTTAGCAGACGCAAAAGATGTGATGAAAGCAGTTTGCGATATAGAGGATGCTAGATTGCCTGTTCTAACTCCTAATTTGAAGGTTGATAATTTACTTGAAAAAGTTATCAACCTCATAGTGATGTCATATAAATTTCCTAATCTGCCATACATATTCTTCTAGGGCTTTGAAGCTGCAGTTGCAGCTGGTGCAAAAGAAGTAGCAGTCTTTGCATCTGCTTCCGAGTCTTTTTCTAAGTCAAACATTAATTGTAGCATTGAAGAAAGCCTAGTGCGCTACCGTTCCGTTTGCCTTGCTGCTAAGGAGCATTCAATTCCAGTACGTGGGTATGTCTTTTATAATCTTATTGTATTATTTTCATGGTTGTTGATAGCTACTATTCCTGTTTCCTGACCAAAATCTCCAAGATTTTTTGTCCTTTTCTCAATTTAGTTGAAATTCGAGTGATGATATACATATATAATTATGCTTATTGGTATCAAATAACTTGAAAGAAGTATCAAATGCTTTGGCAGAAATGCAGATTTATCAGATGGGTACCATTTATACTTTGGAAAGTTCTTGAGTGTATATGTAGTTCTTAGTATGATGTCTGTGGTTCTTCTTGAGTTGCATACTTAGCTATTGTTGATATTACTGTATGCTGTAGCAAATCATTAAAAATAAAAATTTGCTAATTTTCTGTCTTCAAATCTTTATTTCTTTGCTTATATTTTCTTATCCATTTCTAGATGTTTCCAGGAGAAGGCTTGATACTTATCTCAGTTTGTTTGGCTAGTGTAGAAGTTTGAGACTGGATTTTTTAATTATACATTGTTAATAGATTCTTGGAATTTGTTTTGTTATTAAATACATTTAAATTTCTTTTCCACCATTCTATTTCTGAAACTGTTGTTCAATGACACATCAAATGCAGTATAACTCTAGTTGGAGTATTTTGTTTGTGCTTTGTTCATATTCGGTGGTACAATGTCCAAATTACATGTTGCTAAAATTTTACAGGTATGTTTCATGTGTGGTTGGATGTCCAGTGGAGGGAGCAATTCCTCCGTCCAAAGTGGCCTATGTGGCAAAGGAACTTTACAATATGGGTTGTTTTGAAATTTCCCTTGGTGATACAATTGGAGTTGGTACCCCTGGTAATTCTCTAGAGTCTAGATTGTCACCTTTTAGAAACAGAAGTATTTGGTTGAGTAGGAAGTATCACTTTTTAGCTTTTTTATGGTTACATTTGCTTTATTTTTTTTTCTTCTATTGTTTTCCATTCTTTATTTTGTTGTCATTTGAAATTTTAGAATTATGCCATTACTTTGGTTCATGTGGCGGTAAAAAGAAAAGGAACAACGGAGAGTAAAAAGCATGAATATTGCAATAAAAACTGAAAAAACTTTTATTAAAAAAATGAAAAATTTATTGCAATATGCCATTATTCCATTTCAAAATAAATTAGAACAATAGAATATTGCAAATTGTCTCATGTTCTTTTTCTCCTACTCTTGGTCATATGCATGCATATGTATTTGCATCTATCCTATGTATGCATGCAACCATCAATCACATTGACATGTATGCATGCAACCATCAATCACATTGACATGTATGCATGCAACCATCAATCACATTGACATGTATGCATGCATAAATCCATATATGCAAACATGCATTCCTACACGCATCAATCCATCCATGACAGCAATGTCGTCGCATACATGCATGCTTTGTAGATATTAAGATTTCAATTCAACGAAAAAGAAATGTAAAAAGCAAATAGGAGTTGCTGTTTTAATTTGGGAGTAGCATTTCACTTGGAGAATCAATGGTTATTTGTGCAATAAGCATGTAAAATTCTCTGAAAATCTTGTTCTTCTCTTGGATATATATATATGTGAGTCAAACAATGGTCCTTAGGGATTCATTGCCGTTTCTCTTTGTCACAGGTACTGTGGTTCCCATGCTTGAAGCAGTAATGGCCGTTGTTCCCGCTGAAAAGCTCGCTGTCCATTTCCATGACACTTATGGACAGTCTCTTTCAAACATTTTAATCTCTCTCCAGGTAAGCCTTAGAAAAATGCAGTCGAGCCATATATTGAATCATACATAACAATTAGTTCCCTTACGGTATGGAGTAACACAGGGTTCAAATATTTTGCATAAAGTGAAAATCGTTGATTGCGAAGCATTACCAGCTACCTTTTTTCTTTTCCGATAGTTTTATGGGGTGATAGATTTACTGCAAGTTGAGATTGATCATAGCATATATGTTATATTGTATCAACAGATGGGGATTAGTACAGTAGATTCCTCAGTAGCTGGATTGGGTGGCTGCCCATATGCACAGGGAGCTTCAGGGAATGTTGCTACTGAAGATGTGGTGTATATGCTTAACGGCCTCGGTGTGAAAACCAACATCGATCTGGCGAAGCTCATGTTGGCCGGTGATTTCATCAGTGATCACCTGGGTCGTCAATCTGGTTCGAAGACCGCCGTTGCACGGTGCCGGGTAACAACTGATGCTTCCAAGTTATAATAATTAAATACATGAAAAATACGTATAGTTACAGACTTACAGTTATAAAATTATAATTCTATCTTGGTGATGAACTTTAGAGAAAAGGGGAACATGCTTCATCTCTATGGGAAATGTATAATGTAAAATTGCTATACTATGTTTAAAAGTGTAAGGAAAAGCTCCCTATAGTAAGGCATTGAAACTTTTGCATTTTTCATTGAATAAAAGATTCATAATCTCAAAGGAACACTAACTCTGAATGTCTCAACCTCCTAAATTTATCCCACTCTCTTGTTAAAAAAATAAGTGATTAAAACGTTTAATTTCTCTAATAATGGTGACTGACTAACAATATTTTTTTTATTGATCAATGACCATGCAAATGGCTTAACTTTATACAACAACCAAATGGTTTAGTGGGATGAGACATAATATCCTTTAAGGTTAAGAGTTTGAATACTAACATTGTGAATGGAGCAATTGGGTTGGGGTTGTCACTCTCTTAATGAGCTTCTCCAATATTCGATTTAGATTAGTCAATTAATAGAGTGAATACCCGCATAGTTTATCAAAAAGTAGCTTACCTTTATACTTATGATACATGCTATATTTTATATAAAAAGACATCTATAAATTATTTTGCAGATAAGTGAAACAGTAAAAAGAAATTGTATATATATTTATGATTTCGTGTTCAATAGATAATTATACAATTAGGGATAGGTGTAAGATTTTATGTTAAGGAAATGAACTTTTAAAATTTCAGGTGAGGACGAACCTATAAAATTTTAAGAGATGAAAATAAATTTTTAATAGAAAATATCTAAAATATATATGATAATTTGAAAATGTCAGGAGACAACCGTCTCAACTCACTCCTTTGATCCATCCTTCTTTACAACTTAAATAAACAAATCATAATAGAAAAGCACCCCAAGAAATCAATAAAAAAAGTCCAAAGTTCCCACGTTGTTGGCGCTACACTATCACAAACAGATGAAGAAATGAAGATTCCAACTTTCACTTGCCAAAATCCAGACTCAGATTACCGAGTGAACTGTGTTCCACCTTCAGCAGCCAAACCTGTTGTGTGTGTGTTTTTTTTATAACATGTCATCCTTTCAGGAGCACCATCACCATTTCACTCCACAAGCTGGTAGTGTGAGATGTCAGCAGCGACTCGTAAACCGTACCCTCTTGTCTGATGCGACCAGAACTCGAGCTTGCGAAATCATCTCTCGGTTATCCTTCAAGGATTCTTGAAACATGGATTTCAACTTGATCACACAAAAGTTAGATGTGTTTATATTCCCGATTTTCTAACTTAACCATCTTTAGTACTGTTCTTGCTTCCTAAAGCAAATTTCATCAGCCGATAGTGCAGTTTCTTCGTCGTGCTTCGGACTTTCACGATTACCATTGAAGAGTCCAGTTGACAATGTAGGAGATAGAGGTGTGTGGCCACCTGCAGTTATTTAAACATAACATCGTTTTTTAACTCGGAAGACGGATATAGACCGGCGATAACAGAAAATAAAATTTAGTCACCTCTAAAGGAAGAACCTCTATCAGATTCTTTGGTCGAGTTTAACACAATGCACAGCAATGAAGCCACACAGTTCAGATACGACGCTTCCCGTGTCTTGACAGTCCCAATCCTGAAAAAAATGTTTATAATTTATGTGTTATACACATTTTGGATTCATAATTCGCCCGAAGCAGAAGACCACAGATGAAAATATGCTTCCACAAGTATTGGTTCACAATGGGATATCATGTAGGTACTCTCTTCTACCAAATTTGGTGAGTTGCGAGTCGTGAGTTGTGACAGTGTGAATTTGCTGTTTTTTTTTTAAATATAATATTGGGATAGTTTGACCATGTAATGCATATACAGCTAATTATTGTGTCAGAGCTTTGCAAACGTGATCTTTTTTTTTTCTTTTTGGGTAAAAATAGATAAATGGACCTTGAAATTTAGGATGCTAACATTTGGTCACCAAACCTTAAAAAATTGCAATTAATTACTAAACTATTAATTCCATTTCATTACCTTCACATTAAAATCTTCTTCTAGGTTGACAACCACCAATTTTCTTTTGCTTACGTCATTATTATTTAACTTTTTTTTTCAATCGTTAATCCTTTTAAACACAACACACATGAGAGCTTCATCATCTTTCCAAGGTTAGCAAACTATTCGTCGCCATCATTTCATCCAAGTCCTAAGCACCACAACCACAGTCACGAGTCACAACCGTTATCCATGACCAGACCAACTAAAACTCAAGCCATCATCACTAATTCCATTCGGTTACCATCCACATCTGCAACCACCAATAACAGCAAACAATAAACAACAAGAAAAATAAGGAAAGAAATAAATAAGAGAAGAAGAAAATTATCTATCTCAATCTTGACAAATTTTCGATGAATGAAGCAATCCCAATAATATGAAGACTTCATTTGACGAAATAATTAACATACATCCAATTTCTAGTTGATATGAAAAAAGTAATTCTTGTGTAGAAAAGATTAACGTAGATCCAAATTAAACTTACAGAATAAGCATGAGGGCGTATTTAAATATGTGTTGTAGTTTGAGGGCTTTTGAAGAATATTAGCCTAAAATAAAATACCAAAACTAAACCCTAAACCCCAAAAAGAAAGTTGTACACGAAGGATTGAAGCAACATATAGCCGTCAGCTCGACAGCACATCCCAGTCTCATCCTTCCTTGCCTGCCGCGCCTCCGCCCAAAGCCGCGACTCCCTTGCCTTGCTTGCTCGTTTCCACCACCTACAGTTGAGCTGAAAGTTACTGAAATTAACCCACAGCTAAGCCGACAACTACTGAATTAACCCATATCAAATACTGTTGTAAGTTTTCTTTTGATACTGAAATCTTGTAATATACGGAAAAAAATCTAGGACAAGCCATTTCCATTCAACAAATTTCCGCCAACCAGACATATAAGTTGGTCTTGTTTTGTACCATATGTTTGCATATTGGTGAAGCATTGTAATTATTTTTAGGACTCAATTCAATAGATAAACTTGGCGATACTTTATAGTTACTCTAGTTTTTCTGTAAAAACAGTGGTGGGTTGGGGAAATTGAATTATCCTAATCTTATTGTCGACTTTGATTCACTGAGTATTGAACTTTGTATGGAAATTTAAATTTTCTAGGTGAAGTGAGTTAACCTACCGAACTGATCGAACAAAGCTGGTTCAGATTTTTTCAAGGTCAGTTTGGTTTTCCTTCTCAATTTTCGAAAATTGGTTAAGTTGGTTTTCGGAGCATTTTTAACTGAACCGATCGACTGCTTAGTGTAAAACCATATCTTATCCAATCCATTTTTCTCAGCAGCCTCCAAATATATATTGGCATGAATATCTTAGATTCTGCTGCGACAGCAAAAGTAATTCTTGTTTGTTTGTTTAATGCAATTCTAGGGCTTTGAAAATCAAAATGGAAGTAGAATATGCAGAACAAGTAAATCTGGAACAGAAGAAGCATAAAGGTAAACATGATAAGCCAAAGCCATGGGACGAGGACCCGAACATTGATCGTTGGAAAATTGAAAAGTTCGACTCTTCTTGGAACCAAGATGGATTGTTGGAAGTCAGCTCTTTTTCCACTATCTTCCCTCGCTACCGAGGTAATTAACTAGCTTCCTAACCATTTTTTTAAGTTTTATTACCTTTTATAATTTTTAATTATGTTTGGTACCTTTTCTGTGTGTTTTCTTTAAAGAAAAATACTTGCAAGAAGCTTGGCCAAAGGTTAAATCAGCTTTGAAAGAATATGGTATTGCTGCTGACCTCAACTTGGTAAGTTCAAATCATGTCAAATATTTGAATTGACTTAATCTAGTGATCTTTTTGTATTATAGATTTTGGGTTGGTTAATGTTGAGCATTTTGTTTCTGGCATCCCTCTATATTGTAACAGATTGTTTGAGTAAATTGATTTATTGTTTGGATGTTCCAAAAGTGTTAGTAGAAGAAGCGGAGAGATATTAGCAGTTATACTGTTACTTGAGTAGTCGAACGAAAGGAAACACATGATTTAGTTAATATCTTATGTGATTATCTGTCAGTAAAAAAGATATGCAACTATCGAAATACGAAAAGTGGTGTAATTTTCACTATATTAATTATTATTTGTAAAATTGGGTTTTAAATGTTTAAGAGCATACTATTTGCACTGCGTCTTGTCCCGTTCACGAAAAAAAGATTACTATTTTCACTTCATTTCATTTTCATCTCTCTGTGTGTGTTTTCTTCTTCTTTTCATACAAACATAATCTTCTGTCCTATCCCCATTGATTGTTCCTTAAGAAAGCTGTCAGATTGATGGATCAACTATTGTCTTCGTCATAATTAGATATAATCCCATATATATATATATATATCATATTGCTTCTTCAAAGATTGAAGGATCATCTTGCTTAAAATACTTCGTAAACACTCTACTGCCAAAAACCTTTGTTTCCTTGTTTCTTCTAATCTTTTACATTGATTACTGTCACTATACTATCATTGTTATAATAGTTGCATTGATCCTTCAATCTTTGAAGAAGCAATATGATATATATATATATATATCATATTGCTTCTTCAAAGATTGAAGGATCATCTTGCTTAAAATACTTCGTAAACACTCTACTGCCAAAAACCTTTGTTTCCTTGTTTCTTCTAATCTTTTACATTGATTACTGTCATTATACTATCATTGTTATAATATTTGCATATGGTTCTCTATCATCTGATACCTTTAATTGCTGATCAGGTTGAAGGGTCTATGACAGTTTCGACGACAAGGAAAACTAGGGATCCATATATTATCATAAAAGCCAGGGATCTCATCAAGCTTCTATCAAGAAGTGTTCCTGCACCTCAGGTAGACTTGTCTAAGCTTGCACTTTTCATCAATCACAAACTAGTTAAATGTTTGTTTATTTCACATGAAATAGATTTTGATTAGTACTTAAAATCATATGTATAGAGGTTATTTTTCATGGTGCAGATTGTTGAGTTCTCAAGTTTAATATTTGAGTGTAGTAGTTCTTATTGTTTCTTTTAATTTTAGGCCGTCAAAATACTTGATGATGAAATTCAGTGTGACATTATAAAAATTGGAAACTTGGTCCGCAACAAGGTATGTGTTTCTGAATTTACTTTATTTATTTGTATAAAAATTTACCCATTTGACTTTTTGAAATTAGTATAATGGTTGCTATTGGTATATGAGCCGATGCTTGAATAATTAGTTGAAATTTCTGTCGAGCTTTATTGTTTATTTCATTTTCACATGTAGTTGAGCTTTGGCTGATCAGTGGATCTTATATCTCTGGAACACCTGAACTTTTTTTTTTAGCATACACACTTTTAGTATTTTGTAGGATCAACTATGATGCATTGCACCAGTAAGAAGATTTATCAACCACATAATGCCCCATAAAATTTGGATTATAAAATCTGAGTGCCTTAATGTCTGTTATTGAAGCTAATTATGGACAAATATCTAATCTGTATTTATAACATTTACACGTTCAGACGTTCTATATATGTTAATTAAATTTGATGTAAGATCTTTCTTTCTTTTTGTTTATCTTTCGATGGCTGTCTGAACTATGCAAATCAGGGTCCTCTCTGTTTTTGTTATATTCAATATGGATCCTATGATCTCAAGCTATGATCTGAAACTTTTTTGTGATGTTTTCTATTCAACTCTGTTTCTCCTACTCATTCAGTAGCAGTTACGATATAGGCAAATATTTGTATGTAGTATACAAGTACATGTCTATGCCTTTTGTCACTGGTCTTCTACATAGGATCAATTAGGTTATCATTGATCCAGCTATTGTGAATTGTTTGTTATCAGCATACTGAAACCCGGAACTGCTAATTATATTCCATAGGCTTTATTATCTATGCATGCTGGATGTCTATTTCTCATTCAATCCGTCGTACTCATGAAAATGCTATAGCATGTTTAAAGTGGAATGTTTATATCTGCTTATATCTTAGTGTTAAGTGTTAACTAGTTACCAGTCATTTGTAGTGCATGCTGAAAAGGTGGTTTATTTAAATTACACCTTTTTTTAGTTTTTATTTTTGAATTTGTATGTTACTTCCTACACCGAGGAGACAGTTTTTGGCATCTTTATTTTTTGATTTCTGCGTAATTTGGTTAATCTATTTTCTGTTTTGATAGATGGCAAGATATTACATTGTTGCATCTAAAAATTTACATAAAGTTGTCTAAATATTTTGTTTTTACAGGAACGATTTATTAAAAGAAGGCAGCGTCTTGTGGGGCCAAATTCTTCGACTTTAAAGGTGCGTATGCATTCTTATTGATGCCTTTACAAGATTCTGAAATAATCCCCTGAAAAAAGAGGCTATGTTGAGGCACGAGAATATACTATTACTATGAAGTGTTGTGCTGCAGTGAACTCCTGCAATTCTATTGTCTTATTTTCTCTTCCATTACAAATGCAGGCACTTGAAATATTGACAGGCTGCTACATTCTTGTTCAGGTAATTGCTTACCTTGCTTATTCTTTTTTGGTGGTTGAACTGCATATTTTACTCTATTTTGAAATGGAGAACAACAATCTGAAATTATTATCATTTTCCACATGATGAAATAGGGAAACACTGTCGCTGCTATGGGTTCATTTAAAGGTTTAAAACAAGTCAGGAAGATTGTGGAGGACTGCATAGAGAATAAAATGCATCCTGTATACCATATCAAGGTGCCAAAAACTTAACTTTGCAATTTTGGTTTTACTGGTGTTGCTTTAAATTATATACTATTAGATGTGCTTTCATATTGTATGAACATTCATGTGCGAAGCTAGGAATTTTGTGGGGGACTTGGATAATTTTTTTTGGGGGGGGGGGAAGCTAAAAATTGTTAAAATGACATTGAAATATTGTCTTCGGAGGTACTAAAAATGCAAATTTTCCTTGGAACAAAGATGCTAAAAGGGATTAAATTGAATTATTAATTATTGAAAGGGACAAAAACTGCTATTGGACCATTTAACCAAGCAGTGCCAAGGCCCCCTGCTTGCCACCCTTGACTTCGCCCTTCAGTACCATCTCCTGTTTTTCTCCGTCTTACCACATCTTTCTTATTGCTTCCCTTTCCATAATCCAGATTCTCATGATGAAGAAAGAACTTGAGAAGGATCCGGCACTTAAAGATGAAAACTGGGACAGGTTTCTTCCGAAGTTCAAGAAGTAAGATATCCATTCTCTTCATTTGCATGTTTTAACATTTTAATTTGTTTCCATGCCTTGTTGTGTTAGATGTCCATTTAACCATCTAACAATGTTTCCAGGAAAAATGTTCAAACAAAGAAGGTTAAAAGTAAAGAGAAGAAACCATATACACCATTCCCTCCTCCTCAGCAACCTAGTAAGGTACAGTGGATTGTCTCGGTTAACATGACTGCTTTTTTTCTCATTAATTAGACTAGATGTTTTCTTCTTTTTTTGACAATAATGTTGTCCACAATTTTGTTCACTGGTTTAAGGTTTTATATTTAGCATGTGTTGATTTTAGATAGATAATTCATAATTGTAGTTTTATGTAGTATAGTCTTGTATGGCTTAGCTGAATATATTTGATTGAAGTAGAGTGCAAAATCTTAATTTTTGAGCCAAATGATCTAGTTGCTGGTCCTACCTTCACGTTCTTTAACTTTAAGGGGTTTCTATTCAAGGCAAGCGGGGAGATTCCGAAAGAAATTTCGTAGGAGCTTTGGGTTTTGATTTAGCTTATTTGGTTTCTAAGTAATTATTTTCTCTGCTCTTCCATTCTGAAATGAGAAGGGAAATAAGCTATTCTTCAACTCGTGTATGTTTAACATTTTTATACGTTCTTCCTTGTATTTGGAGCATTATATCCCTATACCCGTGTTTTAATATGTCGGATACGGTCTTGGACATGAGTTCCAGAAAAATAAAGAGTTGATTTGTGGAAAACACTTACATTGGTACATGGTGATGTTCCAGATTGATCAAGAACTGGAATCCGGAGAATACTTTTTGAGCGAGAAAAAGAAAGTAGCGAAGAAATGGCAAGAGAAGCAGGAGAAGCAGGCAGAGAAAACAGCTGAAAACAAAAGAAAAAGAGAAGAAGCATTTGTTCCTCCCAAGGTTATATTTTCGAACCCTATAGCAGCTCACACAAACACCGTCTCCAACCATTTTCATAAAACTTATTTGTTTCTACAATAACATAATTTTCGTGTTGCAGGAAACCGCGAAGCAAGATTCTAACAATTCCGAGAGCAAGGAAGACGTCACTTCCCTCGCTAAATCGTTGAAGGTAAGTTTAATCATAAGATGTATTTCTTTTCAAAGATACTTGTTACAATCAGGTATATATCTAACCGAAGCACTGGTTCCCACTGCAGCAAAAGGCCAAGGAGTTTGGAAAGAAAAAATCTCTGCAGAATATCAATGCCGAAGAATATATTTCGGCCCCCGCTGCCGAACCACCCTCGAAAAAGAAAAAGAAATCCAAGAATACCTAGTATAGGTCAAGTATAAATTTTAGTCTAGACAAGTTCATGGCATCGATCGTATGACTGAACATGATATCAGAGTTTTCAGCTTCGAATATTTAAAACTGTTTTCATGTAAGAGTTTTTGTGGTGAATGTCTTGACATATTTTTGTACATTTGGATTCACATACGCTCTCACTATTTCTTTTTAACTACTACAAGATTTGAAAAGAAAGTATAACTATACTACAATTACCAATTTATTTAATTGAAAATAGAAAAAAATGATTACTTTTGAAATATTTCTTTTTCATTAGCTAAAGAACATTTATAAGGGTAAGCCTTAGCTATATGCTTAACATTCGATAATGACACCACATTAAAAATGACGTTGGTTTTTCCCCCCGGTGATGTGCTATTATTATTTTCTCTGTTAGTGTATAGAATCAAGCTCTATCAATATAAGGAGCATAAATTCATCAAAGTTCATATTTTTATTCAACTAATGACAGGTATTTACTTTGTTAGTAGTTATCTTTATGGATGTAATTCAAGCCTCAAGATGCCAATCAGAAAGTTAAGATTTTGAGTTGTTTGAAAGGGAATATAGAAGAAAGAGTGAACTACAAAACTCGGTGTGGTCTAACGATTTTAAATGATGCAACACGTACGATCAATGCGGTTAGTAAGCACTATATATCTATCAGCACCGCAACCAAGAAGTAGAGGTTCCCTTGAACCTTCACCACTAGATTGAGTAAAGCATGACATAAAAAAATACAACTAAGATTTGTATGGACTTACAATAAAATATATATGAATAAAATGAGACTCAAATCAAATTCACTTTTAATGTTTACAAAATAAAATTTAAATATAAAAATTCAAAAAAATCTTTAAAAAGAATTTTTAAACCAAAAGTTCATCTCAGTATGAGTAATCCTAATGATTTTTTCTGATATTAATTAATATAAAAATAATAAACTTATTTCAATCTTCAGATGTTTAAGCCAGACATTATGTGGCAATTTTTTTATTAGATAATTGAAACTCAAGAAATTGTTAAAGAAAAATAGTCCATAAATAAATATAGAAAATAACCATAAACTTTATTAACAATAGCTAATAGATAGATTTATCTTCTCTTATATTTTCAATCTGTCACTTATCATCCCAGTTCCTCAAACATGTGGTGGAACAGTGAAGCCTGAAAAAAAAACAATAACACAATATCTCGGTTATAATTTAAAGAAAACAGTAAAAAAACAAGAAGATAAAAAAGAAAATAATCTTAATAGTATATTTCTATAATTTTACTTTTCAAAAAATCCTAAAAATATATAGATATTAAATTTTACGTACTTCCGCATTTCATTCCAGGTTGAAGGGTCAAGCCACATGCTGTAGCAACAAAGACAACTTTTTCCATACTAACAAGCTTCTCAATTTCTGGTGTAACGTACTTGCATATGCATGGAATATCGACGCTTTTTACCACATCACAACAATCCGTCGACGGTGGGATTTCTGGCCCCGGGACTCGAATGTATTCCGAGCATTGGGATACCAGGCTCGGAATACTCGTCTCGCATTGAGCCGAAACTCCATTGTACTCTCCCAAAAGAGTTCCAACAACCACCAACATAAGGCTCAAGAAACCAAAGCTTGATGAGGCCATTGTCTACTTTTTCTTTTGTTTTTTTATCTGAAAAAACTATGATGGTTCTGGGTTTTATTTGGTTCAGTTTAACATATATATATTGAAATTTGAGAGGAAAATTATGGTAATTTCTTCTTGAATAATAAATATTGATTTTGACCTAAATAATTTCCAAAGAAAAGTCATTTAAAACTTTGTCCCCCCCCCAGATGGAGTTAATATAATTTGTTGTATTCCATATTTGAAATATATATTTATATGTTTATTCCTTCAGTTGCACCTTCAAATTTTCTTTTCCTTTTTTGAAATAAATCAGTTAGAAATTCAACTTTTATCTGAACATACATCACCATAACCTTTTCGTGTGGATTGAGTAGCCCTAATTTTTCTAGGGTTCTAAATTGTGGTTGGTTTTGTTTATATTAACCTCTTTTGAGTTTTCTTGTGAATTTTCAAACCATTTTCTTCGTTCATGTGCAAGTTGTGTGTTAATGTTCTCTTTGTCTTCAAGGTTAATATTTTTGTCCTCCTTTTTCACTATCTTTGCTTTGTTCTATGGTTAGTGTCACTAAAGAGGCACTACAAGGCAGACCACAGAAGCTTGGTGTCGATAATTAGTCAATCAGTATTGATGTTGTAGCTCTTTACAACCTTCAAAAAACCAATCAAAATAAGCAGATCAAACTGTTTATGGATCAAATAAACATTTGTTTTATATTTGGGTTGGAAATGTTGAAAAATATTCAATGATTCCAACATCAGAAAATTTTCATGTAACTCTACTACAAACAAATCGAACCCCTACCACTTAATCTCAGTCCGGTTTTACACCAATTAAAATGTTAGACTGAAAATCTACCTTTGTTTTTTCTCTATCATCTAACTATTCAACAGATACCTGGATGCAACTCAAGAGAGGCTCCATCTGCAACCGGCTTTTGAATGATTGTTGCGGAACTCCGGTTCATTCAGGTACTTGTCATGATCCGAGGATTCCAATTTAAACTTCAACTGAATACTGTAGATCCTCATGGGAATGTCACCCTGCCTCATCATCCACAGTCGCAGGAGCATCAGATCCTGTACTAATTCTACTATCTTGCAACATAAATTTTTCATCAAATGTTAATGTTAGTGTATATGGTTTCAATTCGATGTTCGAAGTTTGTCATGCATCTATACTCTGCTTCTCATTAAGTAAAGCAGTCCCATTTGTTTGAGTTTATATTCCAAGTCGGGACTTGACCTTGTAACCGGGAAACGGATTCTTCCTTGTGCACGAACAACCTTGAGGAGTTTCACATAACATGGAGAGAGGGCACCATGTACTTCCTCAGAAGATTCGGTCCTAAGTACTAACACTATTTTGCAATTCAGCCAATTGAGATTCATCAACTCTTTTGGCCACCATATTGGGACAGAGAGGAGGGGTCGTCTTACGGCAGACATGACATCTAAATCCAATAATCTTGCTTTTGTTCTCTGAATTAAGCCCATAAGCATCTCCATGAAACCATTCTGCATCGATTAATTGAAAGGAATATTACGAAGCAATATAAACAATGAAATTTTCAAACATCAGCATGGAGTGTTTATAATAATAGGCAGTAGCCTACAATGAGAAATGATATAGAAAAAATAAAGCTGAAAGTTAATTACCTTCACAAATTTCACAGGCAATATAGTTTGAATTAGATGCATTTCCTGATTCATGACAAAGAAGGCATCTGGGTGGATCAGGGGTCGCAGTCATATGTTCAGAAGCAAAAAACTTTTTTCTTTGAAATTGCATCACCCGTTCATCGTCCGGCTTACTAGACAACCGAAGACCATTAAACCAGTAAATACGGTAAGCCCTTGTTCTCTTCTTCTGCCAAGAAATTTCCTCCATCTTCTTAGGTGCTTTCTTCTTTGGTTTCTTTTTGCCTTTCTTGCACCTACCTGGCTTTTTCTTTTGCAAAGAAATGTATTTTATTTTCCTAGGGGACCGGCGAAGTGGCACAGCAGCAGCAACCTTTTTATCCTTCTGCGACTGCAGTGACATTCGTACTACCAGTGACTTTTCATTAGCCCTTTTACCTTTTTGTGGCAGTTTCCTTACACTTTTTGCGCTCGTCTTCTGAGCCTTCATGTCACCCTTTCCTCTTTTCATCGCAATACCCCCTTCTTTTGCATTGACATCTGACTTGCAATCTCGGCAGCGATGGCATGTATATGTGCACTCAGCAATGATAGCTCCAGCAGATTTTCTAACATGCCTCTTATGAAAAAATCCTGAAATTATATCAAACTATCAGAAATGTGAAATATATGAAGAGCACGTATATTGGAAGCTCGTAAAAGCAATGACCTCAAGCATGCAGAGAATTACTTAGTAAAACAAATCAAGCATTTAAGAACAAGACAAATACACTTTAATATAGAAGAGCACCACTTACCCTTACAATACTGACAGCAGACAGCTTCCCTGCCAGATTGATAAAATCAAAAACAAAACAAAAAAAACCATAGTTAATTAAAAGAAACAGTCCAGAAATAACAACTCATTATTAAGTATTAGGCCATAAACTATGAAAATGGGTATCCTTGAACATCTATTCAAGCCAAAAACTTATCTCTAGTTCTGATCCAAAGCTTCAAAGTTCAGGGATTACTTATTAGTGCTTGAATAAGAATCGAGTAGACTAAATGTTACAAATTTTAAATGTTAATTTTGTTATTATGCTCTAGTATCTACCAAAACGTATTTTTTAAAGTTCTGTAAGCCTATAAGGACATCATTCTTGATACAGGAAATTTTAGAAACAACAGTTCCAATACCATGAAACTAAAACTATTAGAAACGATAAAGATGATAGGATCATTTTTTTCTACCTGATGAGGACATCTTTGTTACAGTGCCCACATTGATAATACTCTGACCTTTCAGCTTTAGAGAAGAGAAAGGAGAAACCCTTGTTCTTTGATGACTTCTTTGCCACCCTATTGATCTCAGAAGAATTTTCAGAAATCATCTTATTAGACATCCGGGCAATTTTTCTCTCTTCGAAACATCTCACGAGATGCAAGGGCACATAAGATTCATTCAACCAATATTTCTTTCTTTCACTTGAAGATTCTTCAACAACAGTCCCATATCTTTTGACAATGTCGGGGATGATTCTCCTCTTCCCAAAATCAAGAAGATACTTCACCACATCTCCCTCTATGAATTTTCGGCGCACAACACATTTCTTGAACAGTCTAATTGATTTCTTAAAGTCCTTATCTAATGTAGCGAGAGCATATGTGTTTTCAATGTCATCCCACCTAATGTTTGAATCAAGTTCTCTTACCTGAAAAAATAACGAAAAATAAGCCAGCATTCAAAAGAGTGGTTGGTTCATGAAAATTTTGATAACCTTGCTTATTAAAAACATGTAATCGAAAGTGGAAATAATCAAGGCAACCATGTAAGGTCAGAGTTTAAAAAGGCGCGCTTGAGACGTGCCTAGGCGGTAAGGCACAAGACAATGAGTCCAAAATGCTTAATTGAGTCTAGGCGAGGTGACTTCAATAAGGTGCTGGAAGGCGCTCAAAAGGCACTGAGGCGTTGCCTTTCAGGGCTTAATTTAATTTGTTTTGTGGGCCACATCTGGACCACACAAAACAGTCTTTAGCATCAAAAAGTGGACAAGAATCTAAAAGAGGAGTAATAAAAGGAAAAATAAAAAGAAAACTTATTTTCTTTAGATCTTCAACTCCAACGTTGAAGATAAGTCTTTCCATTGATCAGACATACCCAGCACATGAAAGTAGAACATGGAGGAAGCAAACAAACCCAAAATAAGATAGACCATACCCAACACATGAAAGTAGAACAGAACCAAAATGGTGACCGAGGATTTGGAAAAGTCATACAAGATTTTATGGATCCTTGATCAGTTAGAGTTATTTTTCTTATCACGAGTTAGGCTGGCTTCTTGGTTTCTAGCTAAGCACAAGGACGTTTCTATTCATAAGGATTCCTTGATTATGGATCCTTCATTAGCAGATTCCTACTCGCCCTACAGTTCTATGAAGTCTTCTTCATTCCCTTGGGTACCTCCCCCTTCTGGTTTTTTTAAATTGAATGTGGACGCAACCGTTAGTAGTGACTGGAAGAAATCGGGTATAGGAGGTATTTAGAGGGATCATTCAGGTTCAGTCCTAGGTTCTTTTCAAGAGTCAGCTGGTCTGGGACCTCCGACTATGATCGAACTTAAAGCTATTCAGAGGGGTATTTCATTATATGCTTCTGCTCAAGGGAGGGTTAAAGATAGGCTGATTGTTGAGAGTGATAGCAGGGTTGCAGTAGATTGGATCAACACTGTCAATTCATGCCCAGTTGTTTATGAATTCGTTGTTAGTGATATAGTTGACAATCTTAGATTTTTGGGGAGAGTTATAAATTGGGTTGCAAGGTCAGCTAATATGGACGCCGATGCTTCTGCAAAGGCTGGAATAGGCTAATTTTTATGTTGTTTGTTGTTTCAGTTTAGCATTTGATTCCTGTTCGGGTGGGATTTATAGACTGTTGTAAGGGTTATTTCGAAGAGATCTATCGAGGTTGTAATCTTATTTTCTTTAATGAAAATCTAAGGCGCTCTTTTCCTCCTTCCAATGATTAAGGAGCTTCTTTTCAAGCTCCATTAATTAAGAAGGAGGTTTTTAATGAGGCCTTCTAATCTTATCAAAAAAAAATACAAGATTTTATGGTTTTTAAAGGCTGATAGTTTGTGGGGTTTTTTTTCTTCTAAATGTGATTTTACAGAAGAAGAAACACTATCTAGGGCTTAAATTACCATTAAAATCCAAAATAGAAAGATAAGGTTTTTGTTTTTTACTAGAAAGCTCACAAAACCTCTTATCTTAGGCACAATTATTTCTTTTACATTATATTATCCCTAAGATAAGGAATTTACAGTGTATATGCTTCCTATTGCATGATAAAATGTGATGTTTTATACTTTTTGATTGGAAAGTTCAAGGTAACTAAT